CCCACTGTGCCCCATGCCAGGTAATTGCACAGTACATTTACTACAAGTACTGTACTGAAGAACTGTACTGAAGAACTGTACTGAAAACTGTACTCAAGAACTGTACTTAAGTGCAGTTTTGAAGTCAAATTGTGAGGAAAAAGTGAAATTAGAAGAAAATAATCTGTTTTATGCGACTTTGTCTCTTCTGTATTTTGGGGCCAACATCACTACGAGTTGTAGGCAAGCCGGCTTTATTTATATAGTACATTTCAACAACAAGGCATTTCAAAAAAGCATTCAGACATTATAAAAATAATATTTGTTAGTTTCATTTTATTTTTGTTTCAATGCTTTTTTCAAGGTTTTTAGGTCACAAATTCTTGGATACCAAAACTTTTTTATACAGTAACTAGAAGTAAAATGTGTGTTTGTTGGCTGTAGGTTCTCCGTTCACCCTCAGTACTCCGAGTGCTCCGGGTCCGCTGGTCTTCACGGCTCTGAGTCCAGACTCTCTGCATCTCAGCTGGGACAAACCAAGGAAACCCAACGGAGACATCCTGGGATACATCGTGACCTGCGAGCAGCTGCACGGTGGAGGTGAGTCAAACCCTGAAGAACAAAGGGAAAATTCGGACCAAAAGTAAAAAAACGAATTCCCTATATTATAAAAAAAATAATAAAGTTATGAAAAAAGTTAAATTCTGAAAAAAAATTCAAGTTCCAAGAAAAAAAAAAAATTCTAAATTATGGAAAAAAGTCACATTCTAAAAAATATATCTAATCATAACATTTTTTATCAAATTACGAAAAAGAAGTACATTTTCAAGAAATTCTAAGAAACAAATACACACTTATGCAGTTAGTTCTTCCATTTGTTTGGTTCCCATGTATCTTTGTTCTGAAACACATGTTCTGTGTTGTTCTTCCAGGAGACGTCCGCTCCTTCCAGGTGAACGGTGACAGCTCTGAGACGAGTCTCACCGTCCCGAACCTCACAGAAAACGTCCCGTACAAATTCAAAGTCCAGGCTCGAACCACACAGGGCTTCGGACCCGAGAGGGAGGGCATCATCACCATCGAGTCTCAGGACGGAGGTGAAATACATTTAACATTGTATTACTTCAGTTTCAAGTTTCAGGGGTAAAGAGGTTGGGAACCACTTGTCTAGTGCATTAATGTAATCTAAGTATTTATTTCCTTCCTCTTTCCTTATAGGCGATATGTCTCAGTACGACAGCCAGTCGATGTCGAGGAGAGAAGTTTTCCAGTTGCCGACAGATGTCAGTACTCTGACCAACGTCTCGCACACCATGATCAACGACCCCTACTACTCAGGTACAAATGAACACTCTTCAAAAAGTATCTGAAATAAAATTGTATGTGTCAATCGTATGTCAATTATACACTGAAACTTTCATGTGTTTTAAAAAAAAAGGACTATTGGTTACCTATCTTTTACACTTAATAATACACATAATATTCGGCTGATCATCGGGATAATCTCAACATATTGACAACACTTTATGGTTTTTGAAGTAAAAAGCACATTTTATAAAGGCTATAAAGGACGTCACCACCGCTAAGCTAAAGGAGGCTAATGTTGGGCTATAAAGGAACTACAGCACGGTCACATGACTTCACGTCACCACCGCTAAGCTAAAGGAGGCTAATGTTGGGCTATAAAGGAACTACAGCACGGTCACATGACTTCACGTCACCCCCGCTAAGCTAAAGGAGGCTAATGTTGGGCTATAAAGGAACTACAGCACGGTCACATGACTTCACGTCACCCCCGCTAAGCTAAAGGCGGCTAATGTTGGGCTATAAAGGAACTACAGCACGGTCACATGACTTCACGTCACCACCGCTAAGCTAAAGGTGGCTAATGTTGGGCTATAAAGGAACTACAGCACGGTCACATGACTTCACGTCACCCCCGCTAAGCTAAAGGCGGCTAATGTTGGGCTATAAAGGAACTACAGCACGGTCACATGACTTCACGTCACCCCCGCTAAGCTAAAGGCGGCTAATGTTGGGCTATAAAGGAACTACAGCACGGTCACATGACTTCACGTCACCACCGCTAAGCTAAAGGTGGCTAATGTTGGGCGTGATGACGTTTAGTCGTCTCATTTATAAACTTGTTAGCAACCGCATTTTCTTAAATCCACCAGTGTTACATTTTTTTTTTAAACATCGATTTCCAGAATTGTTCAAATGCTGACTAATTTCCAGGTTTTAGGACTCATTCACTCTCACATCATTCAAACAATCCCTCAAAACTCACCTTTTCACTCTTGCGTTCCACTCCTAATCCTAAAATAACCCCTCGCCCTTATTCCACCTAGCTTAGCACTTTTTACTTTTGTTGTTATTTTTCTCCTTTACTTTCTTGTAAAGCGCTTTGAGCACCAGGAAAGCGCTATATAAATCAAATGTATTATTATTATTATTATTATTCCTGCACCACTCTTTAATAATAATGCTCTTTTGTTCTAGGTGACGGCATGATGACGACCACACAGCACATGGAGTCGAGCGGCATCGTGACCCGGCAGGTCACCAAGGAGGTCGTTCAGAGGAGCGTCATGGGAGGAACCACCGTCACCAAGAAGATGTTTTATGAATCTTAATAACCCAACATTTCACAGCCAAAATAGTTCAACATGATGAGGAATCATATCTGAGATTCTCTTTTACAAAGAGCGCTCATACATTATCAGTGTGTATCTTTATACCTGTGTGTTTAAGTGAGGCTTTGGGACCAAAACATGTTTTTAAAAAAACAAAAACATGTAGTCGTCTGTTACAAACTGTTGCCACTTTTCCATCAATTTCCACATTTTTTTTCACTGTTGCTTTTGATTTTATTTGTGGTTTCTCCCACCGGGGCTTTAAATCAGCAGTAATCAAACTGAATTAATCCAAAGTTACTCACCCTGTCTTTACGAGGAGGCATTCAAAAGTACAGTCTGTTTAAGATGCATCTCTTTGCAGATGGTTAATCATTATTTACCAAAATGGTCTAATCCTGAGTATTAAAGTGGTTTATCTGGGACTTTTGTGCATAGATTTGTATTATATTAAAAGTGCGTTTTTTTCAAAGCATATTTAATACTTTATAAGATTTTTTACTTAAACTTTCATATGTAACCTAATTATTTTTCTGCCACTAGTGGGCTTTTTATCCACACAATAACAAAATACGTAGAAGTGAAGTAGCTGGGATCATGGGAGTTTCTAATGAATTGTCTCTTCTGAAAAAACACTGAATAAAGCAGTTTTAAAGCAAATTCAGTATTTCCTGGAGAGGCTTCGAGCTAAATGCTAACGTTAGCTCAGCCTTTTCTGTTTCTCCGATAACGTATGATCCAGATGTTCAGAAGTTGTTTTTATCAGGAGTCAAATTATCCTTACAGGTCTCTTCCTCTCGCGTTAGTTATTTAAACAGTTGAAATACAGAATAAAGCAGTTTGTTTTCGATTCAGTATTTCCATGGTGGACAGGAAGGTGGAGAGGCTACGAGCTAAATGCTAACGTTAGCTTAGCGCTGAATACTTAAGATCCAGACATTCAGAAGTATTTTTAATCAGAAGCCAAATTATCCTTACGGGTTTCCTCCTTTCAACTTAGTTATTAAACCTATTGAAATACAGAATAAAGAAGTTTGTTTTTAATTCAGTATTTCGTAGAGAAGCAACGAGCTAAATGCTAACGTTAGCTCACCCTTTTCTGGTTCTGATAAATTATGATTCAGATGTTCAGAAGTTTTTTTAATGAGGAGCCAAATTATCCTTACAGGTCTCCTCCTCTCGTCTTAGATGTTAAAACAGTTGAAATACAGAATAAAGCAGTTTGTTTTTAATTCAGTATTTCCAGGGTGGACAGGAAGGTGGAGATACAAGATAAAAGGCTAATGTTAGCTTAGCCTGTTTCAGCCTGTTTCTCTGACTCCTTAAGATCCAGACATTCAGAAGTTTTTAATCAGTGGCCACATTATTCTTACAGGTCTCCTTCTCTCACAAACAAGCAGCCCCAGTGATTAAAACCAGTAAGAATACATAATATACGAGTTTAAAGGTTTAAAACCAGTGTTTCCCAATGCAGTTTGGCTGTAGCTAACGTTAGCTCAGATCGTTACTCCAGGCATCCCATGTCTAAAATCCTTCATTTGGTTAAAATATATAGTTAAAAAGCACCAAGATATTAAAAGCGTGTGGTAAGAATGTGGCTTAAACTGGATAAATAGTACATTTATGACAGCTTCTGGTAGACAACGCAGACTCTTGCTCAAAGGGGAGAGGAAACGCACAGATAGCTTCATTCAAATTACACATTTCTTTGAAAACAAACACAAGTCCAGTGGTTTTTAAACATTTTAAAGCAGAAATGTTATAAATTATACCTTTAAGCAGATTGACATTAAATAAAATGCCAAATGTAGTTATATGCACAATTCCTACTGACACGCATGATTTTACAATACAAACAAATTATCAAAAACCTTTTGAATATAACATGTTTTTTGTTTTTTAAAAAGATGTTTTATACTTAAACGTGCTATAGACTGCTTTAAGTTGATATGCGTTCTTACTCTGCAAGGCTTTTGTATTTTTTGCATTTCAAATAGATAAGGAATTTAAGAGACATGGTATGTAAAGACGGAAAGATTGTATTTGCTTCAATGCAACTCCTACTGTATTTTGGCTTCACATTGATGGTTGAAAGGGATTCTGTAAACATATTTTGAGAGGATATTTCATTAAGAAAAGTTGATGTGGACACATGTTTGAATATTTCACCAGCTCTCAGTTTCATTTAACAACATGCATGACTTACCTTTAAACAGTTGAGCACTTTTTTGCATTTTTTTTGTACTCTATTGCAAAAAAATAAAGATTTTAAACAAAACCCAAGTGTTAATTTATTGAAGTTTTGAGGACAAATAGCTGCACGCAGTAACATGGACATTAACACAGCTGCAGAAACAAGGCTGACAAATGTTGCAGGAGAATACACTCTTCACATGCGTCTGTAATTATCTGCACTGAGGCTCTTCAGTAGCTGCTTGCGTTATTCTGCATCTCTAGAGTAATACAAAAAAGCAATAATTAAACATAAGTGGCATAAAGACCTTGCAACTACAATCTTGGTGTTATGTTTTCACTGAAAATGGAACAAAAGGTGTATGTATCCTTGTGGTTCGAGAACTTTTAAACCTTTTTCAAAGCTTATTGGATACAAATATGTCCTTCCAGGTAAAGACAAGGCTGCTTTTTAGAGGATTTGAACTCGGCTGCTAATCAGAAGTCAGCATTATATTAAAAAAAAAGGTTGAAGCTAGTTGAGTTGAGGAAACGCAGCATTAGCCCGAAAACCAGCGAACAAGAATCATATTCATTAACAGCCGACCTCCATCCAGAAAATATTTTAAAGTTTTTTTTCCCTGCCATCTTGCGGACACACTCGTTAAATCATTGTATGTACTCATTGGTATCAGTAAAGTAGTCATTTCAGGATCATTTTGATACGTGAATTACAATTAAACCCCTGCAAAATATGTAAATTTAGTTGTGACGCTGGTAACCACAAATCTTCCCGTTGGGAATACTCCTTAAGTCCAAAACCAGCGCACAAGATTTTGTAGGCCTATTCAATAGCAGCCGACCTCCATTCAGAAAATATTTGAACGTTTTTTTCCCTGCCATCTTGCGAACACACTCGTTAACTCGTTGTATGTACGAATTGGTATCAGTCTGAGTCATTTCGGGATCATTTTGATACATGTATCAACATTAAATCCCTGCAAAATATGTTTATTTTGTTGTTTTGACGCTGGTATCCACAAATGATGCCGCAGGTCAAACTCGTGCGAATGAAGCGATGCAAATCTCCGATGTGAACGCTTCTTACGTCCCAAACCAGCGCACAAGTTTTCGTATTCGCTAGCAGCAGAATCAAAGCACAATCAAAAGCGTTTCGGGGTTCAGGTCCAGAGGCAGGGCCCGGTGCAGAGGCACGGCTGCCGGACGTCCGCCGGCCGGATCACCAGATCGTTGACCACTTCCACGGTTCCGAACACGGGGAACAGCTCCTCCGTGAACGTGTCGTTGAAGGTGTAAAGGTGCGAGCGTTTCTCCACGTCGTAGAAGGACAGCTGGCCCTGCTCGTAGTCCAGGTAAACGCCCACTTTCCTGGGCAGTGGGATGCGGGTCAGGGGCGTCGCGGGCACCGTCAGCGCCTTCAGATCCAAACCCCTCTCCAGACGGAGGGTTAAATATCCCGAATCTGTGGTGAGCGATCTGTAACCCTGCCTCACCGCGGACGCTTTCGCCACGCCGAGCCTCCAGTCACGCTGCCCGACTTCCACCTGTAACAGAAAAATATAATGCTCATTTACTTATGTTAGAAAAACATCCCTGGTCACCGGCTTGAGCTTCAATCTCAGGATCCATGTATCTGTGATCCTCTCCAGAATGGAAGGAGTCATCACATACAGAGCATCACTAGTTCCTGAACAGTGTCCTTCACATGCTGATATCCAAGAGAGGGAGTTACACAGTCACAAGATGGAGGAATAGAAAGCAGTATTCAATGTTTACTTCAGATTAGCTCCACGTCAGAAATGATCATGCTTGTCACATGTCTCTCTCCATAGAGGCTGAATCATCATGTTAATCACATAGCTATCATATGCTCAAACAGTCCTGATGCTCTTCTAGGTAATCATACATCCTGTCATGTACACAGCTACAGTTGGGATACCTTTGTTATCATGTGACTCTCAGATTAGAAGAGTACATTCAGTGTGTGATTCTTACTTGCTAATGTTTATTTTCAAATTTCAATTTCAAAGGTTTTAAAGGTTTTATCATCATATGCACAAAGCTACAGTGTAGAAATGGCAATGAAATTATTCTGACCTGAGCTCCTACAACAATCCAACATATAGAATAAAATACAAAAATACAAAATAAAAAGTAGTGCAAAAAGTAGAAAGTACAGGTATTTGTGTTAAAAATGTAAGAAGTAAAAAGTAAAAAGTAGTGGAGTAAAGTACTGATACCAGAAAAATGTACTTAAGTACAGTAACGAAGTATTTGTACTCCACTACTTCCCACCTCGATGATTCATTCTTTATTCACGTTTGATAAATTGATTCCCGCCACACACCTCCCAGTAATGGCGTCCCGAGGTGAATCCCTCCTGGCCCGCGGAGCACCACCAGCCGTTGAAACGCCGCTGGCACCGAGGGACGTCTCGATGTTCGAGGCCGCAACGCATCCGTTTCTCATCGCTGGAGATGATCAGGTCCGGGTTCGCCGAGTCCGAGTCAAGCTTCACTTCCTCTGTGGGAGGAAATACAAAAAAGAAATCCACTTATCCTCGGTGTATTCCAGATATTTACATTTATGGCATTACTAATGCTGTAGTACAGCGGTTCCCAGCCTGTTGGCCGCGGCCGCATTGCAAGTGGGCCGCCAAATAATTTGCAAAACATTATGATTTGTGTGGAAACATTTTCATTATTAAGATTTCTTTTTATTTGAACCTCTTTTCCTTTCTCTTTCTTGATCCTCCTTAGTAACGGTCATTACAGTCCTTAGCAACGGTCATTACAGTCCTTGACAGCGGTCTGTTCTACTGGATTAACAACGCGTCACATGTTCTGAATCGACCAATCAGAACTGTATTTAGCCTCAGTATTGTTTATGGTTGAATGTGGGCCGCGAACATTTTTTGGATTCTTAAGTGGGCCCTGAGTTGAAAAAGGTTGGGACCCACTGCTGTGGTACATACTGAACCTTCTGTATTTTATATAGTACATCAGTTCATGCACTTATATGCACTCCTTGTTAGATGTTTAATACATCTTGTACCCTGCCAAATGACAATAAAGTTGAACCTAATCTAATATAAATCTCTTTCTTGGTGTTAAAATGTAAAGCAAATAATAAAAAAAGTAGTAGTGGCAGCTTTTAAAATACACAACATTGTTTGATTTATTTTAATATCATTATAAAAGTGGTTTATTTTGGGACTTTTGTTTTGACTTTATTCTTACTATTATGATATACCTTAAACAGATTCATTTGAAGCACACAGATTGTTTTAAAGTGTTTTCTTACCTGCAGCATCACAGATCCAGTTCCACACTGTAAAGAAGAGAAGAAGTCTTTAAATATGTTTTATACTCTCAACATTTCAAACCACCGTGAAGCTGCAAAGATGAGTTATTAACTAATAAATCAACCGCCAGCTGTTTTAATAACTACCTGCCTTGTGATATATATATATATATATATATACACCATAGGGGAGGTTTTTGGCCCACTTCATATTATCGTCATTTGGTGTAAAAAGCTGCATAAAAAACATTACAATGGAAAAACAAGTGCAAATATTGAAAGAAAATGTTAATAAATACAAAAAGTACAAATACTACTTAAAACAACAAGTGTAAAAGAAATCCTAATATAGCAAAAATTACAATAAAATATGACAAATTACTATGAAAAAAGCACGCACAGTATATATCAACAGATTTAAAGGTGTACAGTACAAAGACAAAGACAGAGACAGACAAAGACAGCGTCTTTGAGTTTCCTGAAAAGCGCTATACAATTCTCATGTATTATTATTATTAATGATAAATAATCATAACAAATGTTGGAGAGTAGTGTGCAGAGATGCATTCCCAAAGATGTGCATTATTTAACACCTTATTAGGGTAAATATAATGTGATATACGGATGATTTAAGATCACGTAACTCCAGTCGCTGTGATTTCATTTCAGTATAATCCCTCCTTCACGACAGCTCCTACTCACCGCTGTGGGGGATGTATCGTGCAGCGTCTGCAGGAAGAAAGACATCATTACAATCATCACTTTCACACACAAGCCTTTCATCGATCCTGATTAGCTGGAATGAAAGCAGCTCGTCAGGTTTGTCCTTTAATCAGGAGACGTTCATTATGCGTGGCTTTTTATTCAGAGCAACAGCAGACTCTTTGAAACGCACTCACCGGTCTTCTGGCTGCGCTGCTTCCTCACCAGCCACTGCTTCGTCACGTCCTCCTGAAATATATTAAGAAAACGACATTTAAAAAGATATGGTTTGGAAAATTCAAACATTGTGCGCACACTTCAGGGACAGGGGGAACGTCCAGACTTGATCAATTACGTAAAAACGATGTATTTTTGGTGTAATTTCAGAGGAATTAATGGAAAAAGTTAATAAAAAAATCACTGAAATGTTGATTTTGGGTCTTTGGGACTATATCTCTGCACACTACTCGTCTTCCATTCATAGGATTATTTAACATTTCTGTACTTTTTATCTTTTAATAATACATTTATTTTGTATTGTATGATTTCTTTTATACTAGCTATTTAAAAAGTAGTTGTATTTTATTGATTTATTTGTAATACATGCTCTTAATTTTCCATTTTACCTCTCACTGTGTTTATCTATTCAACATTATATAACAAAAACTTGGTAATTAACCACATTTTCATTTAAATTCTGACTCTGATGAAAACATGAGGTGCGAAATGAGGTTAAAATCTGAAAGATGATGAAGCAAAACCGTCTTAAAAACTCTAAATTAAGCAAATAAATGACTGCTTATCCACTCATTGGTTAATTTGTCTTGACCACTCAAAAAAAAAGCACTTAAATGTGTATTTTATGTCTTATTCCCACTACAAAACAAGCCACGTTATGGAACCAAATTGTTAAACTCTAAACATTGCTTGTTAATTAAATGAACGCTTATCCACTCATTAGTTCATTTCTCTTGACTGCACCTGTAAAAACCCTAAAAGTGTATTTTTGATGTCTTACTCCCACTACAAAACTCTTAAACCTCAGCATTACTTGTTAATTAAATTACTGCTCATCCTATCACTGGAGATCAAGGAGCAACCCTTAACGAGATTAACATTCAACACCAATCTAATCACGTTAAAGACTGACATCCAGACGGTTAGACACCTGAACTTTTGAAAGAACATCTATCTGTTTGCAACTTACTAATTATTGATCTAATATATCATTTTCCATTTACTTGTATATAGACTCTCCTTGCACTATTTCATCTGTTTTATTGTGTTGCTCTGTGGGAGGAGCCTGTGACCTCAGATATATCTACAATGTGATTTGGACACATGACAATAAAAGCCTTGGATCTTGAGACCTTGAGGGGGCTGTCTGCGTTCATCACGGCCAGGATAAGGAGCTCCATGGCGGGCAGCAGGTTTTGGAGACGGCCCCTCTTCCACTGGAGCTCCAGGTCGTCCAGAACCATGAGCACCGCTTCCCCCGGCCACACGGTGTTCTGGAAACAAAGACCAGCGTTACTCGGCGTTTAATCATCTTTGTGATGGAAACTTTTAACAGAACAGCACAATCACTGAGAGAAAACATGCTCACAGACCCTTCAAATGCACGCTAAAGGGTCTTTGAGCATGTTTTCTCTCAGTGATTGTGCTGTTGTGTTAAATGTTTGTTGTCAGCAAGAATTTCATTGCCATTTCTACACTGTAGCTTTTGTGCAGATGACAATAAAACCTTTGAATTAGAATTGAAACCTGAGGTCTGCTTCTGATCTCTTGAGTCCAGTCCATGATGACTCGTTTGTGGGGCCCCATGTCTCCCTCCCCCCCCCGCCTCCAGCATGCAGAGGAGGTGTCCTCTCCAGTCCTTCTTCTCCGGTTTCTCATACTGGTTTACAGACTGGATGAGCCTCGGCTGGGGAGAGGAAACACAAGGGCATCGATTGAAAAACACACAATCAACACACTATCTATATGTCTGTCTGTCTGTCTGTCTGTCTGTCTGTCTGTCTGTCTGTCTGTCTGTCTGTCTGTCTGTCTGTCTGTCTGTCTGTCTGTCTGTCTGTCTGTCTGTCTATATGTACGTCTGTCTGTCTGTCTGTCTGTCTGTCTGTCTGTCTGTCTATATGTACGTCTGTCTGTCTGTCTGTCTGTCTGTCTGTCTGTCTGTCTGTCTGTCTGTCTGTCTGTCTGTCTGTCTGTCTGTCTGTCTGTCTGTCTGTCTGTCTGTCTGTCTGTCTATATGTACGTCTGTCTGTCTGTCTGTCTGTCTGTCTGTCTGTCTGTCTGTCTGTCTGTCTATATGTACGTCTGTCTGTCTGTCTGTCTGTCTGTCTGTCTGTCTGTCTGTCTGTCTGTCTGTCTGTCTGTCTGTCTGTCTATATGTACGTCTGTCTGTCTGTCTGTCTGTCTGTCTGTCTGTCTGTCTGTCTGTCTGTCTGTCTGTCTGTCTGTCTATATGTACGTCTGTCTGTCTGTCTGTCTGTCTGTCTGTCTGTCTGTCTGTCTGTCTGTCTATATGTCTGTCTGTCTATATGTACGTCTGTCTGTCTGTCTGTCTGTCTGTCTGTCTATATGTCTGTCTGTCTGTCTATATGTCTGTGTGTCTGTCTGTCTGTCTGTCTGTCTGTCTATATGTCTGTGTGTCTGTCTGTCTGTCTGTCTGTCTGTCTATATGTCTGTCTGTCTGTCTATATGTCTGTGTGTCTGTATGTCTGTCTGTCTGTCTGTCTATATGTCTGTCTGT